TGCGGGCCGAGCGACGGCTGGGAGTCGGGCGAGGAACTGAAAGGCCCCGTGGGGGGCTGGCGGCGCCCAGGCCCGCGGGGGCCTGGACCCTGGACCCGGTGACTGTTCGGTCCGTATCCTCCAGGCAGTGACGGCCACCTTCTGGGCCGCCCAAAAGCTGGGCCTACGCAAGCGCCCGCGAGCGGTGTGACACGAGCTCCCCGAGGGAAGCCCACTTTCCCCTGACCCGGCCAGGCGTCATCCCACGCCTTCTCGGCTTCCTCCCGGCAAGGCACTCAGTGTCCCCGCCGGCGTCACCACCTCCACCGTCACGCCCGCCGCCACCAGCTCCCTCCCTGGTCACTGTCATCTTCACCGCGTCAATAAATCACGGCCACCGCCTCCACCGCCAACGTCCGCTCCCTCCGAGCCGCCGCCAGGGCTCCCCCACCCATCCCACGCGGCAGCCCGGGGACTGCGCCTTCTGCCGTGTCGGAACCGCAACCACGCAGCAGCAGCAGCAGCAGGCTGCGCCTCCTCCCGGGAAGACGGTGGGCTCCACACCGCGTGCGTGGGAGACCGCCGCAAGGAGACGCCACCTGCAGGAGCTGGGGGCTGGACCGACCGACAGACGGTGACCCACACGCGGCAGTGGACGGACCGGGCGTGTGGGGAAGACCAGGCCTCGCGGTCGGGGAGGCGGGGACAGCCAGACGTCGGGGGAGACCAGACGAAAGGGAACAGGGGGAACGGGGTGCTGTGCAGAAAGGGGGGTGGACACGACGCAGGGTCCTGGGAGAGGCGAGGGAGCGGGCGAGAGAACAGGGAAGGACACTGCTGGCAGCATTTGTGGGAGCCCGGATGGGGGCAGAGGCTGGAATCCAGGGAACCACAAGGGGTGATGGGCAGGGCGGGAGAATGGGAGTCGGGGGAACAGTGGGGTGAAACCGTGATGGCAGAGACCACAGTAAGAGAAGGCCCTAGGGGCAGGAGGAAGTGTGAGATGGGAGGAGGAAAGGGCCCCAGGAGCGAGGAGCTCATTATGGGAGGTGCAAGGGTTCACGGGGGACCTTGGGGATGGGAGAAGCAAGCCAGCAGGGAAGAGAAACTGGGCGTCATGCAAGGAGCAAGCAAGCAAGCAAGCAAGCAAGCAAGCACGGGAGGAGGAAAACATCAGACAAGTGAGTGGGAGAAATCAGGCAATGTGAGAGAAGCAAGGGATCGTGGGAGAAGGAAGGCAGCGGTGGGACAAGCAAGTGGGAGGAAGCAGGCATCATGGGAGCAGCAAGGGGTCATCACGGGGAGTCGGCATCGTGGGACTAGCGAGGATGGTGCTAACACCGAGGCATCTCCGAAAGGTGGAATGAAAGGCCACTGGGAGGGGCAGGTGTCACGAGAACAGACCAGCCAGGAAGGGGAGCTGTAGGGAGGCACGACGGGAGGCCGGTAATGGGGACAATACTCGCTCAGGCAACGCATGAGGCCGACGGAGCCAGGGGCCAGGCGAGTGTATGGGGACGGCGAGTGCTTGAG